GCACCAAGAGTATTGTGGAATTCGTCACGTTGATCAAGCTTAAAAGATTAAATCACACAAGTGTATTTCTGTACCGATTATAAATCGAATTTGCGTGGAAATTGTGTTTTTTCGCGTAAAATGAGATAACTTTAATCTTGCCGCAAATATTCAATACACGCTAATTTCAATATTCTACAACGTTTATTTGGATAGTTACTAGTTACATTATGCATTATGTAATGTTGTAGATTGTAAAATCATCATGAAGCTTCCAGCGTGAAATTTGTCGTTCAAATGTATTAAGAATAGTTAACACTACCTTGTTAACTTTTCAATTATGATTGCATACATTTTTATAACGTGATATTTATATGCGTATTTTTTTACTGTGCAATAAAAATAATGCGTTATATATTTATTTGAATTTGATCATGTTAAGTATGAAAAAGAAAAAAATTTTTAGAACGTTTACACTTCAGATAAATACGATTTTATATGACAATTTAATTTTGCAGAACAATTACGGATTATAAAAATAGTGATTACTCATCAGCTTTTATTGTTTATGTAACAAGATCAATTTGGAAGGTGACATTAGCACAATGTTTGCATTGTTTTATATAAGAATAAAATTATATGATAAAACTGGATACAATGCGTAATAGAAATTTGATCAATATTTTCTCGTAATACATACATAACAATAATTAATGTTTTCCGTATATATGAACTGTAGCGAAGTAACTTGCGCGGCATACAAACTCATATCCATATTACTATTTACATTGTTTAAACTATTATAGATGGTAAAGCACGTAATGCGTTAATGAAAATAATAAAGTGAAGTCAATAAAGAAGTGGGACACCGTAACGGTTTTGATGGCAAAGTACTGATGACACAGACAATGTCACGTTTCAATCAAGATGTTAAATATCTAATCCTAACATCGTGAAGGTTATCCTATTTATCGATAGAATAGGTCTCGGTTAATTACCGTTTCGTTTATCTGTCTTGATAAGCGCTGTTTAACAAAAGATTAATTTTCGCGTTTTACAAAAGATTAATTTAACTTTTAGCAGTTTCTACAAATGGAAATACAAGGAATATCTGCCGAAGTTTGAAGAATTTTCCTGTTGTACGGTATCCTTTTCTTTTTTGAAATAACTTTAAGAGAAGGAAGCAAAAGACGAAAGTTTTGTAGTGAAGGTTGGCTATTTCCTTGTACGGCATAACACAAAAGACATTTTCATGGCTGACATTTGGTCTCTACGACGTAGAAAAGAACAATAAATCGGACGTCAGTAGATCAGACAAAGGACACGAGTCTATTTGCTGGTTCGTCCGTGCGCCGTATATATACACACGTTTCACATATACAGCATGTAATTCCGCTCATATCATCTGCTTCATTCGATCGCATTATCCTTTGCGTGGACTATCGACTTTAAGATAACGGATCCTCTTTCAAACACGAAGCTATTATTGTCTCATAATTTTTTCTTGTTTCAATTACGTCTATTTTTTATATTTTTTCCGAATTTTAGTAGCAAGTTACCAAACAAAAAATTTAAATAAAGCTATATTTCAATAAAGGTAAGCTATATGAACAGGAAAATTTTTAATGAATATGTGTATTCAAATATTATTTTAATTAGTGCAATTATAGTATCATTTTGCGAAAACTACTATCATTATTATTAAATAAATATTTTTTAATTATGTATAACGATAAAGCCCAATCTACAAGCACGCAGAACAAAGATCGCAAAACTAGAAACTAATCTAATGTATTTGAATGTATTGTATAATATATTGTATAATATATTGTATAATGTATTGTATAATAGGTTGCAGGACGCAGAATGCAGGAAGTTGGGTGAACTTCAACTTTCCCGTCCTGTGTGTTGCGGCCTGTGACCTGTTATAATCTGAAATACGCGTTTCATTTGCGACCTGCAACTTACATGTTATGTAGATCGAGGCTTTATAGAGGTTATGAGGATTTATATTAATACCTAAACTTATACTATCTTCGCTGTAAGAAACTTGGAAAATTTCATTTAAATTTCAATAAAATATTTGTAATACGAAATGTAATAATTTTCGAAGATTTTATGGAATGTTTCGAAAACAGAGCGATAAAGTTTTATTTATTTCAAGCTTCTTATGTTTTCCTATATATATATATATATATATACATCTTCATATTGCACATTGCACTAAAAATTTTGTAAATTCTGTAGAGACTAAACTTCACGCGAGAGTGTATTTTCCAATCTTCTGTATATCTAAAAATAGTAAGCACTTTATCATAAAGTACTTTAAAACTTTAAAGCTTTGTTTACATCTACATGACCTAGTCAGATTATGATATTCCACAATGTAAACTGTATGCAACAGATCGCGTTATTCGTCTGGGATCGATTTTACGATTTCTGCGTAATTATGAAAATTATTGCGATAATTATGAAAATTGTCGAACAGTGAACTTATAGTAAGCACCATCAAGAATTAAATGTCTTGAACGTCATTGATCGAAATAGTACACATTATTAATGATGCAAAATACTGTATTTCCTATAATTATAATTATCGCATTTTGAAAACTCAACGTCGCTATACGACTTTTTTTAATTGCTCACGGTAAAGTTGAAAGAAATTCAACCAATCATTTTGCCTCTAAAAGGTAACGAACATTTGGATTTGCGATCCATATTTCTCGTCATGGCACACGAAATTGAGGAAGTTCGTGGAATGAGTTAAATTAGGCTAGAATTATGTAAACTCCATCTCTTGGGAATTCAGTCGAGAAACGACAAGTACAAACAAAACCTGAAACCTAGCTTGACCCTGTATTCGATTTGGTAAATATAACGGCATTGGATTGCACAAACGAGACGCAAAGCATATACATTGTCTAGTCAAGCATCAAAGTGCACTTGCTCCAACGATGATATAAATTACGCAACCATTATGCATTCATTATTGCTGATCGACTGATTATTCCTTTCTAACTGCAATATTAAAGCAAATATTTTTTAAAAATATCCCCTTTTTGAAATATCACAAAGAGGTCAGACAAGTTCGGCTATTTTTAATTTAGATTTATTAAATCTATCTTTTTATTAAGTGAATAGTGTGAGTCTCTATATTATTCTAAAAAAAAGAATCGATAAATCAAATTTTCGAGAATATAAGGATCACATGAATTCCTTCAGATTCACATATTTAAGTATTGTAACTTATATTAGGTGTAGTAAAAAGAAATCTATTATTTTTCCATTCAATTTCATGCAAAAATGATGGATTTCTTTTTACTACACCTAATATATTTATGTAAAAAATTATGTGAAAAGAAAAACAGCAGTTTTTCTAATATGTACGTATATTAAAGTTCTATTTATTTGTTTCCTAATTATATTAATATAAATATCTTGAATGAAAAATTGAAAAAATTAAAGGATAGCAATTCTGTTTACATTATAATTAGGAAACAAACAATAGAATTTTATGCACATGTCACAAAAATCTTACTGTTTTTTTTTTTTTAATAAAATGATCACTAAAATGACTATAAAATTTACAGAGTTTTGGATGGATAAAAATCATTAGCACATTGTTTGATGTTGATCACGATATGTAACTCAGGCTCTCAAATTGAATAATACTTTGCTATTATCTATCTTCTGTAATTACTATTCTGTAATTACAAGTCACTTTCAGAAGGTTTTATTATGTTAAATGAATTTAACATCAATGTGTGTAAATCATTTGATATTTCATTCGCACAAAAACGACGGGCTATTTATGTAACTCATTAAAAATTAAAAATTAATTATAACAACCACGTGGAAAGCGTCGCATTGTTTCATTTTCTCATATGCGAATACTTAATAGCTATTCCATTCGAATAAAATCTATTCTCGTCAATATACCGGGAATGCAGTCGGGTAAAAATGGCGAATTAATGATAAAATATACGCCGTAATATAGCGAGCGAATCAATGCTGATTATTCATTCGACTCCGAGCTAATAATATTGCGCACGAATTGTTTTACTCACGAATACTGCTTACGACGTGAGCATCGACATATCATTTCGCAATACGACCGTCAACTCAGCGAATCATCGTAATATATTAAAGATGGGTCATAAATGTCAAAACATCGTTTACGACCGTATCGATCGTCTTCAAAAAAAAAAAAAAAAAAAAAAAAAAAAAATTGAAAAA